GCTTTAGGGCGGGGCTACACGGTGATTGACAGGTCTCTACAAGAGACATATACAGCGTCTCTACGTCACTCCTCCTCAGTCCAACTATGGTCACTTCCTGTTCACTGGTTGCGAAAAAAACAAGATGGCGACGGCCGTAATCCAAAATGGCGACTGACAAACGATCTACAGCATAATATTAGTCCAATCAATGAATGTGATTGAGTGTTATTAAACAGTCTGACTGATCACCTGACACCTGCAGCGGTCCCACACTCTCTGATCAAAGACTTCCTGTGTGTGTGTGTGTGTGTGTGTGTGTGTGTGTGTGTGTGTGTGTGGCTGATTGATCGGTTCACAGACGCTGATTAAAAATCAATAGTGTGAAGCTCCTGTAGAGCTGCTGATGGCTGTCAGACAGAAAACCAGCAGCAGAAACAGACTGGTTCAGACTGGTTCTCAGCTCTAAAACCCACTGGTTCTACTGGAGACGTCAATATTTAAAAACACACATATGTGGTTTTATCAAAAATCCCCTAAAACAGCTGGTCTTTGTAGTTTTCATCAAACAAACAGGAGGAAATAGTGCATTTGGTGGGGACTATTTTCAGCAGCGGATGAATCCACATTTGGTGTGTGTGTGATTGAGTCAGAATAAACTACAGAGTGATGATGATGATGGTGGTGACGAAGGAAGAGCATTGATGCTCATTGATATTGTTTCTCAGTTCTCCAACAACCTCTCACTCGGGATCTACTTTCTGCTGCTGCAGGATACGTTTCACCACCACTGGAGGGAGGGGAACCTGGCGTCAGCGGCGAGGTGTGATGTGTGTCGGCGCTCCTGCGGCTCATCTGACGTCCTGTCGGGGATCAGGTGTGAGTGGTGCGGCATCACGGTGAGGACCAGCTGAACCGCATCAGACCAGACATGAAGACCTGCAGACCTCTTGACCTGCAGACCTAAGACTTGCAGGTCTACAGACCTCAAGACCTGCAGACTTGCAGACCTCTAGACCTGCAGACCTCTAGACCTGCAGACCTCTAGACCTACAGATTTCAAGACCTACAGACCTATAGACCTGCAGACCTCTAGATCTGCAGACCACTAGACTTGCAGACCTCTAGACCTGCAGACCTGTAGACCTGTAAATTATATATAAATCATTTTGTGTTTCGTCATAACAAACTAACTGACAGACAGGAAAACCTGGACCAGGTAGTTTTCAGGAGTCCTGGTTGGTTTCATGGTGTCAAAATACAATATGATGTTTGTCTCTATACGAGTCTTCATGTCTCTTCATGTCTCTATACAAGTCTTCTTGTCTCTATAAACGAGTCTTCATGTCTCTTGTGTCTTCCTGTTCGTCTCTGCAGAGCCACGCGGCGTGCTACCTCAGCGTGCCACCAGAGTGCACTCTGGGACGTCTGCGCTGCATGATGCTGCATCCGGCCTGCGTCCGCCTAGACTCCAGAAACTTCAGCAAGATGCACTGCTACCGCGTCATGGAGAGCTGCAGCCAGGACCTGGGTACACACACACACACACACACACACACACACAAACACACAGAGCTCCAGACCACATCCTCTGTGATGCAGAAACACTCGGCTCATTTCCTGAAAGCTTCTCTTCTTCATCTGAGCCGAGAAACCCCAAAAAATTTGTTCGTTTTTTTTCTCACGAATTCTCCGATGTGAACGACTTTGTTTGTGAGGCTCGTTTTTAAACAAAGATGTTTAGAGTCTTTGCACTCGGCCTGCAGACGTCTAGACCTGCATACCTCTAGACCTGCAGACCTCTAGACTTGCAGACCAGAGTTCCTGCAAGTTTCAACAGATTTAAAGGAGGACTTCAGAAAAACTTATTTAGCAAATTTAAGTTAATTAAACCAAAAGAAAACCTGCAGAGCGAGATTCTACAAGGAGCAGGTGTACTGTCCCTTTAAGTCGTTTAAAGAATGGAAGATAAGGACAATTACATTGTAGGAAATATCTTGTGAAGAAATTTTAAGTTTAAAATACATTAAAATAAGATAAACTTCATGTATTCTGAGGGAGAATGTGCAGCACGAAGTAGAGCTCTTTTTATTGATTTAAATATATCAAAATATAAACAATAAAGATTATCAATGAGGGGAAATGTCAACATGAAAACAGAAAAGTGCAAATTCAAAATATAATGTACATAAACCAAAATAAGTAACAATAATAAATAACACAAAAAATATATATCGTAAAGTTTTTCCAGGTTTTTGGTGACTCACAGAACTCTGTGTTTTTTTCAGATAACTCGGATGATGTGGATCAGTCTGCTGCTGCGCCGAAAGAGGGTCAGCCGGCGGCTCCAGAGTCAGGTTAGACCTGGAGAGTCAGGTTAGACCTGCAGAGTCAGGTTAGACCTGGAGAGTCAGGTTAGACCTGCAGAGTCAGGTTAGACCTGGAGAGTCAGGTTAGACCTCCAGAGTCAGGTTAGACCTGCAGTCAGGTTAGACCTCCAGAGTCAGGTTAGACCTGCAGAGTCAGGTTAGACCTCCAGAGTCAGGTTAGACCTCCAGAGTCAGGTTA